CCCGCAAGATCGTTTCTATGTATTGTTGTGAGCGCCATTTTGAAAATATTGCAAAACTCGACGTGCAATAACGTGGCTTAGATCGCTATAGTTTTTCGGACAACGGAAAAGATCTGAAAGAATGAAAAGGGGTATTAAGCGTCAAAAACATTAATCCTTTTTTTCGAAAGCCGAATAGCACTTCGCTGGTCAAAATGCATATTTCGCGTCGTTCAAATTGTGTGCAGAGAGATGATGCGAAAAATTCAACAGATTTATGTAAATGAGCTTGTTAAGAGAATAAAAAATTGCAAGAGCATTCCCAAAAAACTTTTGGGAATGCTGGCGAATGTGAAAGATAATTACACATGAGAATAGACGGTTTTGAGACTTTAAGATCACTTTTACATTTCGATTCCTTGTGCAGGATAGAAGAGTAGTTCGATAATAAGTTCCGCATAAAAAAATTTTGTATAAAAAATTCTCTAACGAGATTTAGATTACGTTTGACCTTTGCGGTATTATCTTCGATATTTCAACTTTATCCTTCGTACAAATTTATCTCTCGTAGCGTACGTCTACGTGTGTGTCCCTCATAATCTTCAAATACATGATGTCGATGTTAGCTATTTAAAATTGTCACGTCAAAGCGGAAATAATGTTTAATTTATTCTCGTTGTCGTACGCGGAGATAAATGAATTTCTCACACGACCACACGCGCGATCGATGTAAAGTGGACCTGTAAAACGTGCCAAAAACTGCGGTTATGGTTCGTTATCCAATAACCATGTCATATAACTTGTTTTCGTTGCCGTGCCATAGGACAGATTTAAATTGAATTATATGGCCGTTTATTGATTAACAGACCAAAACCGGAGTAGACGGCAAATGCTACAAGTTCGCTTTATCAATCGCGACTGTTGTCATACGCGCGGAAACTCATTTATTTTCAACGTATGGAGCGGCGACGCGTAAATAAATTGCATATTATACCCGCTTTTGACGTTACGCTGGCAGCCTTAAAATTAAATGTAACAATTCATCGCTTATCCTTTCCGCAACAACGATGGGATGAAATGATTAATATTTCTATATTCGTAATTCTGTTAAAGTAACTTTATATATATATTTTTTTTTCCTGCAGCCTAAGGCTATATTTTTTTACCCTCTAGTTTCATTGAAAATGCAGCCCCAGGTATCTCCCGAGACGATAACTATCGGAAATGTCTGATTACGTCTTCATGCAGGGTACGTTATGTGTTCGCATCGCATCGTTTAACCTTTATAGGATCGAAGGGCAAGGTAGTAACACATTCAGTTCGCGTCGGCGGTCTAACCTATCGGCTTGCTATTTTTTTTTTACGAACAAGCGAGGTGCCTGTCAACATCGCATACGAGGTGTGTATCAAGAAATGTTTTTCTCAAACGCGTATTTCTAATAAAAATTATTTTTTCCTAAAAAGAGTTTATAACGCTGGCAATTCAAAAGCGAATATATAATTGAATTAAACGTTTGATTTCTCTACGATACGTGATGTGTATATTTACGTTCAGTTGAATTTATGAAAGACACTTTTACTTTTTGCAAGCAAAAACTATAACATTTATATGCTCTCATATTCCATATGGTGCAAGTACTGTAAATAAATTAATAGATGAGTAAATAATGATTTAGTAATAGTGAAGCAAAAAATTTTGTTTCGAAATTACGCAATGTTTATTGAATGGATTTTGTTTTTTCCGTAGAAATTATTATTACACAATTCGTATTATAAATATCCAAAGTCATCTTTATCATCGTTTATCATCGTTATCTTTTTCAATCGATTTTCAATTTACATTATCGGAAAAGAAATCGAATATCTATTGTTCTCCAATATCATTAGATCTCTCTACAAATTGCGGTCACTTCTAATTTCGCTGATATATTTGTCCAATTATAGTCAATTACTTTCACGTGCACACTGATGGCCGAACGTGAACTTTGCGCGAAATCACGCGTTCTGGCTGTCTGCCGTCCCCGAAGAGAGATGAACGAATGCGGTCGGTGCAACGCGCTGCATTCGAGAAGTTTCGCTCGATTTGCGGTGATTACTGTGCGACGGAAGAGAGGGAGGAGGAGAGGGGATTATTTAATTCACATTTGCGCAACGATATTCACGGTTTTGTGCCTCGCCAAGCGTTCAGAAAATTTATCCTCCACCGGGGAGGGAAGGAGAAAGAGCAGGCATATCCACGGCAGCTGACGTCATGTTCAACGAACTGTTAGTTAGCCAGTGAACTATACTAATATTGGAATGCGCTTCGAGCCTTGTCAAGTCGCTGGGGGGCGCGTACGTGTGTGTGGATGTATCCAACAGCTGCCGGCGGATCCCTTTCGCATCCCCCTCGGTTACGTCGCTATCCACCCACGACGTTATAGCGGAGCGATAAACTTACCTGTTTTTCCGACAACTTTTATCTGTATCCCCTACCGCGGAGATATACAGGTCCGCAAAGAGGTCGGAGATGTTCACAGATTTATTTCGCGAGACTTAATAGCTGGCGAAACCCCGACGCAAAATCAGAGCTCGCGAACAAACGATTATTGATTATAACAATTTGCGGAATTTTTTATCTAGATTAAAGTATCGTTAGCGTTAGCAACGTTACGTGATTGAAATAACTTTGCGCGTGTGTTGGCACTTTATGCATGCCAATTATGAAATATCTTACGTAACGATTACAGACATATTAATCATCACCCGCCCGGCCGCGCCGATGTCTTTGACAAATATCTACCGAAGCCCATGAAAGTCATTTATCACGCATTATGCTCGCATTAAAATGTCTTTAGCGTTGATAATAATCAATCAGAGATTTTAGTATTAAAACGCGTTCTATTATTCTCGGTATTGTCGAGGAGAATTCGGGGGTGAATTGCCAGAGTGGCAGGAAAGGGTTGTAGTTAAATACAAGTCGCGAAACGCAGTGTCAGCTCGCCCGCCTTCGCGGAAAACCCCGTTCACGCAAAGCATGCGACTGGATATCGTGATTACCGTCACCGCCTCGGTGATATATTATACTTGGAGATGTGTCAGTTCTTCAAGCGATCTTTGTCATTGTTCTCGCGCCGACGATTATGATCAACGGGTGGTCGCCTTCGCGAAACCGTCGATGGTACTGGCGATATTCGATGGGGGAGTGAAGTTATTTGGCGCTTGATGGCATATAATTACGGCAAGAAGAACAATTAATCGTGGTGGCGTGAGATCAATTGCGTCGCGGACACTGTTGGACCGGAAGTTTGGCATGCAAAGGGAAACGACTCGCCGAATTCGGGTCGGTAATTTTCATTAATTACCGTCGAGAGCATTCGAATAAGAACGAAAGATAAATCGGATCGGTTCAATCGTCTTCGAATTAAGGCACGGATTTTTCCTCTTCTTTTTTAGATTTCAACTTGAATGAGCGTCGATTCATTATATATTATACGTTTAGCGGTGCCGATAAAATTATCTATTCATCAAAATGTCTTCGACCAAGACATTCTTTTTATTTTCTCTGATAATTAATTAAAAAATGTCTCAACTTTTAACATTAACTTTTAAGTAGCTTACCTTTGAACACATGTTATTGTCTTGTAATAGTCTTTACAATATAAGAAGTTAACATTATAATTTTTATTGTAATATTAGATTGCATCAATATAAGACTTTGCATTAAAGATAAATTCTGAAATCACTCAAAATATGAAAATTATTTTTTTGAATAATTTAATTGATATTATGATATTTATTCAACGTGGCAAACTTACGATATTTATAAGCAGAGTTTAAAAAATATTTTGATTCAAACCAGAGATTTAAATCATTGAACAAATCAGTATTGTTTTTCTCGAAGTCTCGCTTTGAATAACTCGTAAACTTAAAATTTAGATCGACGATATCTCATAGTCGACATTAAGAGGCTCACTGACATTTTGATCGGCTTAAACGACCAGTGTATAAAACACAAAGCATAAAAAGTGAATAATTACGTACGTTAAAAGGAGTGCATACCTTATTTTCTCTTTTTCACTTTTCGCTGTAGCATAATTTTAGCATAATGTTTTAGTATAACAATATTCCGAATCTCTCTCATTATCGGAGAATATATAACGGGTATAACGGAGAGAAATTGCGTGGTTTTATAATATGACTCGTGCGGGCATTCTGCGAAAAATATTGTCTCATGTTACGCAAGTGTTTTATCCGGAAGAGTGAATCGGCATATTCATTGAATTAAAAAAGCAAAGTTAAAATATCGCGTAATGTAATGTATATTCGCGATACGGTAGAACGGGAAAACCCGCGGCGTTATTTATTCAATTACAGTTTTCGTTCTCGTTTTCCATCGTGATTTACAAGCGTGTAGGTACAGCGATAATCAGCTGCGAATAGCATGCACGCGCAAGAGACTGTGTCCATAAAAATTTTTAAAGGGCTCGTTTCCGGGATATGAAAAGGGTCTTGAAGTCCCGCCTTTAAATTGACGTGTGTCATAAACTTTTTCTAAAAGCGTGAAAAACGCGAGATTGTGTATTATCTTTGAAATATGAACTATCCTTCTCAATTTTAACGTTTCGACTCGCATTTCAATATTCAATACGCAAGCAAACGAATGAATACGAATACATTTGTATACAGACGTGCGATTAATTTTATTTGTACCGCTTTTAAAGAACAAAATTATACTAAAATACTATTATAACAGACATTTACTGCTATTGAAAAATATTTTAATTCACGAATACTTATATAGAAAAGATTGATTTCTTAACAATATTACAATCACTTAATTGCGCATATTTAAAAAAAAATCAAATTAAATAATTATGGATTTAAATAAATAAATAAATCTTTTTTTCGTTAATATTAATTTTATAATTTATTAATTTTTTATAATAAAAAATTGCAAGTATTTTTACAAAACAAAATATTAGTACGATTTTCCTTTTGCAAAGTAAATGTCATGCGAGAAGAGAGAATAGTAGACTTACCTACGATAGTGGCGAGTATAACAAGACAGAGCACGATAGCTGTCAAGATGATTGGTACATCGAAGACTGGATTTTCCACAGTTGCGTTCGCGGCTTGATCGACGTGAGCCTCCATCACGGCTGAAGTGTATTTTCCGTCTTCAGTGTTCGCTATTCATCATCTGGTTAAATAATGTATCATGGTCCGTATTCGTTAAAGCGGGTCCGAAGATGTTTTCATCGTTTTCGACGGACGCGGAGTCAACACCTGGCCGATAAACGTCGGCTACTTCCCTCGTACGCTTCCATCTCTATCTCAGAATTTCTCGCAGTCCCCATTTTCCACAATTTTCTGCTCCGAGACTCCATGGACTTTGAGGTGCAGGTTTTTTTTGTGGGATGTCTGTCCTTTCGTACGTACGTCTGAAACGGCAACGCGGAAAAAGGATTTCGTTAAAATGTTGCTTTCATAGATGATCTTATATTAAAAAAAAAAGATACTTTTCGATCTGATAAATGTAATGGCAAACGCAAAAGGCAAAACTTTTATTTTTGAAAGGTCTCTTATAACATCTCTGATAAGTTATTTGAAAACTTATTCTAAACTTTCTTTATGGATTTCTTCATTTTTAAAAATAATTTTGAGATTATTAACAATATCAATATATGGAAAGGCTCAATCGTCCACGATATAGCGTAATTACAAGATTGAGTTTCGCGTTAAATATAAAAGTCTGAAGGAAATTATGACACGCACCGAGAGAATATGCGAGGTGTCGTTTATGGTAGCCCGCGAAACCAATAAAATTGGAGCAATCGATCGACAATTATCGGGATTGTAACAGGCAACTACTACAATCGACTTTGATAATGAATCCACGGGGTTGCGCGAAAAATAGATGCGTTTACAACAAACGCCAGTCGTGGAGATTGCCTTAGAAGGTCGTATGCCGTCTATTAAATTTTCCAATAGTGTCGGAACGTTTCATTAACTTGAATTCACTGGAACCTACTCGCCATTTGGTTTAAACTGATTGAATTTCCAGACGAATAGCATTCACGTTTGATAGTAGCGCCAATACACCGTAAGGAGTCCACTGTTTTCCTGTGGTTCGTTGCGTGATTTTATTATTTTGATGAATTACAAATAATTTTATCGAAAATGTGAATTTTCGACGAAATTAGAACTGAAAGTTCATCTTACTTCGGTCCATTTAAAATTCCGATTTCAAGTTTTATGATCTGCACGTTAGAATTTTGATTGGAATTAAGGGCTCATATATCGAATTTATAATGACTTTAATAGCTCAAATTATTAAACGAGAGAAAAGTCAGGTCTTATAACATCTCTGATAAGTTATCTCTGATTTATTCCTCAATTTTTAAGTTCAGTTTTCTTCTTTCATAATACAATTTATCAAGGCACTTTTTAGGACATAAAACTTTTCATGTATGTGAATGTTCCTCGTTGGTGCCCGACATTAATCATATATACAGTAATGTAAAAAGGCTAAATACATTTTCACGAGGGAAGTCAACATTTTTCTTGCGGCAATACGAAAAATTTGTCTCATAGCGATTGTTGCCACAATGGCTTTTTGCGCGCGCGACCGGCTGCCAAGATCTAAAAGTTTTATTCCCACCGTATGACGCAAATCCCACGTATTCCCTGCCAGCAACTAAAAACTGTCCCGCCCTACGGCTCTCTTCCTCATCACCATTTTTCGGTGCTCGTCCGGCAGGGACCCGAAAAACAACCGTTCTTCCACGATAGAGAAGTATCTCTCAACTTTCTAACAGCCAGTGTCGCCTGAAGAAAAAGCCGCCGGTGCGCGCAAAAGCGTGGCGTCCGATGGTGAAAACTTCAAAGAGGGAGGGCAGAGAAGAGGGCAGGAAAAACGAGCGTCTCTGTACGACCAAAGAATAAAAGCCAATCAAACGGACTTTCGTAGATGCCGTGTTGCGTTTTTAATACTTGAAATCAACGAAACCTTGCGCGAGTATCGATTCGTCGGCGCGTAATGAGCTTCGTAAATGATAGCAGTTCGACTGCTTTTACTCTCAGTTTGTTGGAAGACATTTATTCTCGTTCGTTATAATATGCTAATCATCACCGTAACAATGAGCATCTAGTTTCATTAGTTAAAACTTTATTAGAAATTATGAGTAAATAAACATAATGAAAAAAAATATGAAAAAATTTCTATACAGAGCAGAGAATTAAATGCGTAAACAAAAAATATGTATTTTCACTCTTTATTGTTATTAAACCACGTATAAAATTGTGTACATTTTGTATATTGCAATAATAAACACGGACACGATTTATCGATGGGACGTACATGGTAAGCGCATCGGCAAAGTAACTCTTGAAATTTCGTTTTCTTGGCGATTCACATCCCAGCAGGATATAAAAATTGCATTTTACAATCCCTATAAAATCGTCTTTTCCTACAATGATGTGAAAATAGTTGGAGAAAAAATGATTTTGAATATTACGGGAAATTCGCGCGTCTCGTAGGAACATTGTTTCGCAATGATGAAATATTTTATTTATTCAAAGAAAGAGAGAGAGAGAGAGAGAGAGAGAGAGAGGAGAATTAATTCGAACTTCGATAATGGAAAACAGACTTTCGTCCTGCTGTATAAAGCAATTTTTATATCTTAATAAAAAATTGCTAAAGCACGAGGAGATTTAGAAAATGTGAAAGAAAATAAAAAGTAAACTTTTACTTTATGAAAAGTGCGAACGTAAACTATTTTTAAATGCTATTAATATAAAAATAATCATCCCGCTTAAAAAAAAACTTGATAGAAGAAAAAAACATTTACCGATTCTCTGAAAAGTGATTTGGAAATTGTTGATAGAACTTACCGAAATATAATTCAAATTTGTCTCGATCAATTTACTTAATCTACAATTATAATAAGAGAAAAATAAAATTATATTTTTGTGATAACCATAAAGGTAACAGCAACGAATACAATTTCCTCGATTAGATCGTTTAAAATAAAATTTTGTTGTTTTCCAAATCGTCCTATCGCTAATTTATCGCGTTCACGATTTTATCAGAAACTACAGATCGTACAAGGAAAATTTGCTTGATGAATTACAATTAAGTAATTAAGTTAATAAGTTGCGCGTCAGTGGACATTGTTCGCGCAATAGGTTGGAATTGGTGCAAATACTTGTGCCGGTTCGTTTGCACCACCGGTGAGTACTACCGGGAGCCGTCGGCCAAATCTCGTCGTATTTGGGCCAATTCAAAATTGAAAGTGCAGGCGCACGTAGCAGCCCCTGCGAGAGACCGCGTGTATATACATTTCACAATAGCGGATGCATTTATCACGAGCAGAAAACTGCGGCTCTCGGTCGTGCTCGAAACTCCATAAATTCCCCCGCCGTTAGTGGAAAATGGAGGAGGGGAGGCACCCAAGGTAGAGGAGGAGAAACGAGGGAGAATCGACACGTCGGAAATCTATTTCTGGGGAAAGAAAAGCCGGGCAAACTGTTACGCGATTAAATCGCGACCTGCCAGTGGAGAGACCCTCGAAATTCACGATTCACGTTTGCCTTCGATTTAACGCAGCTGAATCTCGTCGTGACGAAGACGTCTCCGTCATGGTTCTTCTTCTTCTTCTTGTCCCGCATTTCCCCTCGGTCGGGGTGAAAAAAAAACGCGTTAACGAGGGACTGATCTCTCGTCGAAGAAGTAAAAAGGTTTACGTGGCTTTAAAGTTTATGACCAGTCACACAGGCAAAAAGCGAGCGGTCAGTTTTTTCTCCGAAATAGTGCTTGTGACAGTTCAAAGGGGTTTTAATATTCACAATCTACACGTTGTGTGTGTGACTCTTTTTTTTAATCAAATAAAATATGGACGAAATAAAATATATTTTTAGATGCTACTTCAAACAAAAAATATCGTAATAATTAAGGAAAAAATAACTGGTAAATATTCTATTATTTTAAAAGTAATCGATATTTTTTTCTGATAACGCTGATGTAATGCACTATTTGCGTTTATGATAATTTTAGGATTTATCCTTCGGATATATACATATACAATAATCGCGAAATACACAGATAAGTAATGTTTGGCAGGGGATCAAGTTCCGATATGTGTCGTAAATCTCTGAATATTACACGTATATAAATTTCCGCTGTTTTGTACTCTTTGTATACTTTTTCCTTACTTTTCCATTAGAAGATCTGTGACGCGAAATTCAGAAATAAAACTAGATTTCCTTGTAAGTGAAGTGCACCTACTATTTACGATGCCATACCGTCGTCCATTATCCAGAGCTCCTACTGCGTTCCATTAGTCCCGTGTAACTAACTTCTTCAGCTTCCAAGGATTTCACGCTGAACCGTGCTTATAGGATCAAAAGATTAGGTCCACGCGTTACGTCCGATATATATAAAGTGCGCGACGGGGGGAAAACTTTAAACTTATCCACAAATCCGGAGAAGCGCCGAAATTTCGTTGTAGCGTCACCGATTTTCGGCGCTTAAACGGTATAGTTGTTTCAAACGATAAAAAATAGACGAGAAAAAAAAACGAAACAGTGAAAAAAAATTTGGGAAAATAAACCCGATGAGGCAAAAAAAGGAAAATGGACTTTACATAGCCGGGCGACTGATGGGCGGATAGTGTGCATTCTGCGCATTACTCCTTCCGTAATTTAAAAAATTTTTCCATCCTAATATTGAAATATGCAAAAAGTATGCGGCTACAAGATTACGTGAAAAAAAGAACGAGATCGATTTTTCTAAACGGTTTTATTTTATAAACGGTCATATACGGCTTTTAAGTGGAACGGTAACGAAAGCTGGACATAGAGCGACAAGCGCACTCGTAACGGCGAATTGCAGCCGTATATTTGATACAGGGATTCAATATTTGGACGTAGCCAGATTGTAAGCATACGCAAGTGCGGGAGCGATATGCGTCTAAAAGAGAGATGTTGTCGTTTCAATCAAAACCGACAGACAAGGGCGGACGCATCGCCGACGCGACTGACACTTGTGTACAACGATCCCTCAATATTGCTAAATTTCCGCCCATTGACGGCCGTTTGTGTTTGATAGCTATATACCGGTACAGGCGTTAATCTTGTTATCGCCAGTCGACATTCATCCGAGACAAGTTCCAATTGCCCCTTTATATATATTAGTTTTTTTTTGCTGGACGTTTGATAATTACACATCAGTATACGTTGATGCGTTATTATTAAAATATCAGCGGATAATGGCAATAAATTATCTATTGATCAAAAATTGAATATACATGTACCTTTGTTACAACTTTTCTACATTTTTCAAAGTTTATTTGCTGTTATTATATTAAGAAAATGAGATTTTTGTGGAATATCGAATATTTAAGTATCATTAAACTGTCAAAATAATTGTAATAAAGTATTG